GGCTGGTGGATCACTGAGGTCAGGAGTTCAAGACCAGCCTGATCAACATGGTGAAACCCCATCTCTACTAAAAATACAAAAATTAGCTGGGTGTGGTGGTGGGCACCTGTAACACCAGCTACTCAGGAGTCTGAGGCAGGAGAATCACTTGAACCCAGGAGGTGGAAGTTGCAGTGAGCCGCGATTGTACCATTGCACTCCAGCCTGGGCAACAGAGTGAGACTCTGTCTCAAAAAACACACACACACACACAAAAACATGTAATTTTGTGACAAGTTTTCTGTGTTGCCTCCAGGTCTGAGGGGCCATGATGGATTGCACCTATCCCTGGACAGGAACACAGTAGTGCTTTGGGTTTAGTAAGTTCATTACCATGCACGCATCATCCCAAATTTGATTTCTTGTTGCCTAACAAATGTTAAAGTTATTTCAAATAACCAGCCACTCTATGAGCACATACACAAAAGAAATAAACCAAAAAAGAAAGAAAGAAAGAAAACGAAAAATGGAAGACGTCCCCATTATTGGGAATGAACACATCAGAATGAATTCTGGCTGCCAGCTCAGGTATGTGGGTCTGGATTAGAGCTTTCCTGGGGTACTGCTGAGCTATGGCTCATTTTATGATCTAGAGAATGTCTGGAATGTGGGTTGAATGGCAACAGATCTGGAACATTCATTGACTAGACAGGAGGTTGCTTCTAACTGGGGATCCAACCAAAAATGCTTTGCCCCCGTCCAAAGAACATTCAGAGGTTTTGAAATTTTTAACTATTAATAATAAATGCAATTTAATAATTGCAACCAGCATTTATTGAACAATTATCATACATGAGGCACTATGTCAAGTGCTTTAATTGCCTTATTCCATTGTCGGAATAACCCTAAGATGTGGGTATTCAGCTTTATCATCCACAGGTAGCAGGTAAGAGAACTGATACTCAGAGTGATTAAGTAATTTGCTTGAGGTATGCGGTCCATAAGTGGCAGGGCTGGGATTTAAACACAGCTTTGTAGATCTAAAACTCGTAGGCTTTACCCACTATGTTGTATTGTCAAAATATGGCAGTCTCCAGCAAATGTGATGTGATATTTACTTGGGTGTGTTTCTTTCTTTCTTATTAAAAATTTTTTTTTTTTTAAAAAGATGAGGTTTCTCCATGTTGGTCAGGCTGGTCTTGAACTCCTGACCTCAGGTAATCTGCCCACCTCGGCCTCCCAAAGTGCTGGGATTACAGGCAGGAGCCACAGCACCCAGCCCCCCTCCTTTTTTTTTTTTTTTATTTTGATATGGAGTCTCACTTTGTCACTCAGGCTGGAGTGCAGTGGTGAGATCTTGGCTCCCTGCAACCTCTGCCTCCCTGGTTCAAGCGATTCACTGCGTCAGCCTCCTGAGTAGCTGGGATTACAGGCATGCGCCACCAGGTCCAGCTAATTTTTTATTTTTAGTAGAGATGGGGTTTCATCATGTTGGTCAGGCTGGTCTTGAACTCCTGACCTCGTGATCTGCTGGCCTCTGCTGCACACCTCAGGCCTCCCCAAACACTGGGATTACAGGCATGTGTCACCACGCCTGGCCTTACCTGGGTGTTTCTTTGACTCTTATTTACTTCTTTATAGGAATACTGTTTCAAGTATATATTCATATGCAAATTGATTCCTAGGTAGAACAGCCCATTGGTGGAGCAGTCAGAACACACACAATATTTATGGATTAAATTCTCTATCTTCTATAGGTACAGTATGTCATGCCCCAAAATCATGACAATAATAACACCAAAGATCTCTGTCACAGATTACATGACAGATACAATGAAAAAAGGTTGAAGTGTTGCAAGAATTACCAAAATGTGACACAGAGACATGAAGTGGATACATGCTGTGATGCTACTGACATGCTGGAGGCACAGTTGCCACAAGCCTTCATGTTGTAAAAAACACAGTATCCCTTAAGTGCTATAAAGCAAGAGCAATAGAATGAGGTATTCCTGTATTTACTTGTCTGTCTCTTCTAATTGTAAAGTTCTTTAGTGTAAGATGTCTCCAGTACTTCCCCACAGCAGGCATCTGTTACTGAGTAAATAAAGGAATACATGATTACCCATGTGCAGACAATAATGTAGCAAAAGCTATTTATTCATTTTTAGTTTATTTATTTTTTTCTTCAGACAGAGTCTCACTCTGTCACCCAGGCTGGAGTGCAGTGGTGCGATCTGGGCTCACTGCAACCTTCACCTCCCGGGTTCAAGGGATTCTCCTGTCTCAGCCTCCCAAATAGCTGGGATTACAGGCGCATGCCACCACAGCCAGCTAGTTTTTTGTATTTTTAGTAGAGACAGGGTTTCACCATGTTGCCCAGGCTGGTCATGAACTCCTGAGCTCAGGCAATCTGCCCTTCTTAGCCTCCCAAAGTGCTAGAATTACAGGTGTGAGCCACCACGCGGGACCCCAAAGCTATCTATATTTAAAAGGAGCTTCCCCAAATTAGTAAATGCTGGTCCATGATATCAAAGTTCTAATAATTCTTCACCGGCTACAAGAGAAAGTGAAGCATCAGGGGCTTCAACTTCTTTGAAATTCTTCTTTTACTCATAATCATTAATGCATCGTTTAGCAATTGTTCTGCTTATGTGAGTTCTGACTCTTTTTTTTTTTTTGAGATGGAGTTTCGCTCTTGTTACCCAGGCCGGAGTGCAATGGCGCGATCTCGGCTCACCGCAACCTCCGCCTCCTGGGTTCAGGCAATTCTCCTGCCTCAGCCTCCTGAGTAGCTGGGATTACAGGCACGCGCCACGATGCCCAGCTAAATTTTTGTATTTTTAGTAGAGACAGGGTTTCACCATGTTGACCAGGATGGTCTTGATCTCTTGACCTCGTGATCCACCCGCCTCGGCCTCCCAAAGTGCTGGGATTACAGGCTTGAGCCACCGCGAACTAGGCCTAAACTGTCAGTCCCCGGAAGGCAGGAAATGCATCTTTTTAGTCTCTAAATCTACCTTCTATTCATCCTTTAACAGCGCTTTACATAGGATGTGTCAAGAAATACATAACCGGTTTGAACTCAATTTTTTTTAATTGCATTTTAGGTTTTGGGGTACATGTGAAGAACACGCAAGATCGTTGCATAGGTACACACAAGGCAGTGTGATTTGCTGCCTTCCTCCCCATCACCTATATCTGGCATTTCTCCGCATGCTATCTCTCCCCAACTCCCCACTCCCACACTGTTTCTACCCTATTTCTCCTCCCCATCCCACAGACCCCAGTGTGTGATGCTCCCCTCCCTGTGTCCGTGTGTTCTCATTGTTCATCACCTGCCTATGAGTGAGAACATGCCATGTTTGATTTTCTGTTCTTGTGTCAGTTTGCTGAGAACGATGGTGTCCAGTTTCATCCATTTCCCTACAAAGGACACAAACTCATTGTTTTTGATGTCTGTAAACTCAATTTTTAAAAACGTTGTTGGAAAATACCTCAAACTTTAATGCCACCAAGTCAGTGGAAACCATTCCAGAGTTTGAATAAAGTACTTCAGGGATCTAAAACCTTGAATCTGGGACATTCAGGCTCCCTAGTAAGAAAATCATTGTAGTTCTTGGGGTGGAGGCCAGGAAGTAGGAGCTGTCTGTCACCTCACTGCTACAGCTTTTGTGTTTGTTTAAATTGCTGTAGTGGTGTGGTCACCATCATAAGAAATCTTGTTTTCAGACTTATGGCATACTTTCCCTCGTTTCTGAATGTAACTGATACCAAGAATAATTTTCTTTTTCCTGAGTGGCCATAGTCCCGATATCTAAGTTGTTCCATTTTATGTATAAATTCCTGAAGTGCTGCCTGTTTGTTGAAATACTAGATACACAGATAGTAAGTAGAATCCTTTAAGAAGAAATGCATTTCAATCCTGTTCTTCCCCCTCCCCCCTCCCTCAAAATTAAGAATGCTGCTAGCCTACCCTTTGAGGAAGAAGTCAGAATTCCTAAAATGAGGAGGTAGAGAAGAAACCAGAATTCTGTTCTGCCAGGCTCCATATAGCATAACAAATCTCTCCTTAAAATCTGCCTTCTGACCAGGTGCAGTGGCTCATGCCTGTAATCCCAGCACTTTGGGAAGCTGCAGTGGGTGCATCAGTTGAGGTCAGGAGTTCAAGACCAGTCTTGACCAACGTGGTGAAATCCCGTCTCTACTTAAAAATAAATAAATTAGCTACTAAATAAATAAATAAATAAATTAGCTGGGTGTGGGGACGCGCCTGTAGTCCCAGCTACTCAGGAGACTGAGGCAGGAGGTTGCAGTAGTGAGCCGAGATCGCGCCACTGCACTCCGGCCTGGGCGGAAGAGCAACACTGAGACTCCAAAACAAAACAAAACGAATCTACTTTCTCTCTCTTCAATTGTCTAAACCTCAATCCTGCAGACAGCTGTGACCCCAAGTCCCAAAATGATGTTGCTATTGCAGGGTAACAAACAGGTTTTCTGTCAGGCCCGACGGTGAACCAGCAGCAACTGCAGGCTGACAGTCTCTTACAAGAGCTTATCCTAGTAGGGCTTGTTAAATTTCACTTCCAACCCCAAACCAGGAAGTGCTAAGATGAGCCCAAGACAAAAGCAATCTAGCTTCAGAAACAGAACCCTCCAGACTGCAGAAAGACTATAACCTTTTAATAACGGTTTAAAATTTGGAACTGTTCTCCGGTTTGCATTGGCATATATGATCTCTTCCCCATAAAAGTTTATTAAAATTCAAAATTGCCAAAAAAACAAAGTAAAATCATATAAAACACACACAGGCCAGTGCCCTCACTTAAACACTCACACACAGACAAATTGTTTTTATGATCCGCTTCCTTATCTAGACAGTCCAGGATTGAGCCAGATTTAAGTTGGCAACCTCTCAGCTAAAGCAGGGCGGAATGTAAAAAGAGTATCTACTACTCCGGATTCTTGGGAGGAAGGTCGAAGCGCAGATGGGCCACGCCCGGGTCCCGCTGTCTCATTGCACAACTGCAAGATCGATCTGGGCATCGAAGGAGGAACGCTGTAACCTCCAACCCCTTTTTTCTGACCAACCGGGACCCGAGCAGTGCTGGGGCCGGGGAGGGTCACCCGTTGAGGACCGGGGCGGAGGGTGTTAAGTTACAGGGCAGGAGTCCGGGTCCCCCCGCGGGCAGGAAGGGGAGGGCCCAACGGGGCGAGGGGAACCCCGGTGCGGGCCTGGGGTGGGGTCGGAAAAGCTGTCTCACCGCGCGCTCCCGGGCCCTCCGCTCCCTCCCTCCCTCGCTGGCCTCCCTGCCACTCTCTGCGGCGCCTTCCCGGAGGCAGCGCCCGCAGCGGCCTCGCCATGTCCCAGCCTGGCCGGAAGCCCGCCGCCTCCCCGCGGCCCGGGCGCGCTGCCGCAGCCCGCCGCACCCAGGAGGTGAGTGGAGCTCCTGTCGGTGCCGCGGGGCTGGGAGACTGGGGACTGGGTCTCGGAGCTGAGGCCGCCCTCCAGGGGCGTTGCGGGGCTGGCCGATCTGCTGTCCCCGGCGCCCCAGCGGGGCAGGGAGAGGGACAGGGAGAGGGCTCCTGGCTTGGCCGCCACTTGGCAGGTGGCTGGAGGTGGCCGCGGTTTCCCGGTCGGCTCCAGAGCGCTGGGCGTGGCGTTGGCTGGGTATAGTGGGTGGGGGGCGCGTCGAGAAAAGTTGGCTGGTGAGACGTGGTGAATGAGGATAAGGATGAAAAGGGAATGAGGTTCACTCAGGACCCCCGAGTGAGTGGGGAGGTTTCACTAGACAGCGGGATCTAGTCTTCTACTCTAGTGCCGAGCCGCAGGGCGCGGCTGCCTGGAGACGCCGAGCCTCCTCCCTATCCAGCCCTGAGCCAAATCGGGCGGGCGGGGCGGGGAGGGGCGCTGCGGGGCAGGGCCTGCGACTGGCCCCGCCCCCAAGGTTCTGCCCACCTGCAGACCCGGAGCCTCTTCCCTAACCAGCCCCGAGCCAAATCGGGCGGGCGCGGCGGGGAGGGGCACGGCGGGGCGGGATCTACTACTGGCCCCGCCCCCAGGGTTCTGCCCACCTGGCAGCCTTGGGGTGAGCCGAGCTCAGTGCCAGCCAAGTCCCGGCCAGGCATAGTGCGAGCCCGGCGCCCCCAGCACAGCACCCCGCGTCCTCTCCGGGTCCCCCGCCGTGCGAATCGGAGCCAGCCGGTTGTCGCCATGGCATTCGCCAGCTGGTGGTACAAGACGGTAAATAGCAGCGGTTGTGCCCGGGCAAGACCGGGAAGGGAGGGTGTTGGAAGGGAGTGAGTTGGCTTTGCCCTTCTGGACCTGCGGACGAAGCGTTGTGCAAAGTTTGGCGGAGAAGGGTTGCGGACCGGGTGCGACCTCCTTACAGACCGTCAGGTTAGGCTCCGGGAAAGGCCGGGGACTCTCCCTCTTGTGGTATGTGGGAGCGCGCCCAAGCGTGCGTGGTGCATGCACCTCTCTCGCCCCGGTACAAGTGGGATGGAACTGGAATTGTTGCTGGAGGAATTCCGTCTAGGAGGTGGATTCCTGAATGAACTCGGACGCAGCTCATACGAGCTTAGATCTAGGGTTTGTTTTTAACCCCTAAGTAAACCTCAAAACTTTCAGAGGGAGGTTGTTGGTCTTATATTTGCCAACGCAAAGGAGAGGCAGCTGCAATGTAAGTCAAGGAGAAAATCTCAAACACCAAGGCGCAGAAGCAACTGAGATCTGAGACCAAGACCCTTGGACGGAGCGTTGGAGGGATGGGAGAGAGAAAGCGAGGAAGTGAGAGAGGGAGGGAGAGAGACAGCGCGCACGACAGCGATCTGCTCTGCACTTTATTGCTTTAGATGGGGGACGAGAACGTTCCATTTGTTTGGTGCATTGAATGTCTGTCCTACCAATTAGGTGTGATATCCAGTCAAACTGGCACTTCTAGTGTTTTGGAACCAGGAAGCATGATTTAACATTAGATTGCTGTCCAAAAACACACACACACACACACACAAAAGTTTTGTTGATAGTGAAAACCAAAATGTTTATGTCCCATTGATTTATGGTAAGAATTTAAAAATTAGTTAGATATGTCTCTTTCTCTCTTAGTATGTGGTGTTGGAAAAAGCAAAGATGTTGGAATCAGACACTCTTTGGAGCTAGAAATCATATATAAGAATCAAGAAACTGTTACTTATCAGACAGTGGGCATTTATTGATCATCTACTATGTGCCAGGCAGAATTATATCCACAAGTAGTGTTTTTAAAAATTATTTTTACTCTCCCTTTCTATATATATAGTATATATAATATATACTATATATGGAGATAGGCTATATATGTGTACTGTGTGTGTGTGTATATTTATTGTGTGTGTGTGTGTATACACACACACACACACACACACATACATACATACAATATACTATTCAGGGTCTCTCTCATTATGTTGCCTAGGCTGGTCTAAAACTCCTGGTCTCAAGCAATCCTCCCACCTCAGCCTCCCAAAATGTTGGGATTACAGGCATGAGCCACTGTACTGCACCTGCAAGTGCTTTTTAAAGCCTCTACATACATTGTGGAGAACAAAGAGTTTTTCTCAAATGGAAATAAGTCAACCTTTTCAACCTGCTTTCACATCTGTAAACTAGAAATGATATGAACTACATAAGTACTGGTGAGGACTAATTAGATTCAAAATCAAGATGCTATATACATATGCTTTTAAGAATTGGGAATTCCAATTTCCCTTGAGATATTTCTTCATGAATGTTTTCCAGTGCATTTCCTGGACCTTTAAATGTAGCATTTTATTGATGTGCTAAGAGAAAAAGTTTGCTTTGAGTCATTATTGTCCTAAGGTTCTTATCAAAATGAACCATGTACATTATCTGCAAATATGAGTAGCAGTAGTTCAGAGCTGACATCAGACTTCTCCTTCCACACTCATGATTCTCTAAAGGAAACTGCTGGGTTACTTGGATGAAAGGAGTTTAAATCTATGCTTTTAACCTTGTTTTGTTTAGTCATAGTCTGATGTTTTTGCTGAAACCTCTCTTAGAATCCAATTTTGGTACTGTCATCAAAACTTTTTGCTAGTAGGAACTTCCTAGAACCAGCAACATGATTGTGATCAAGCTTTAACTTTTCCCAACAGAAATATAATGGGAGCCACATCTGTAGTTTTAGATTTCCAAGGAGCCACTTTAACAACAACAACATCATAAAGAGCAGGTGAAATCTGTGCTAATTGTTGTATTTTACTTAACCTACTATATCCCACATATTATTTCAATATGTAATCAATGGATAAGCCATTAAGATATTTTACATTCTTTTTCATATCAATTCTTCAAAATCCAGTGTATATTTACATGAACAGCACATCTCAATTCACACTTGCCACATTTCAAGAGTATTCAGTAGCCACAAGCAGCTAGGGGCTATACTAATGGACAGTATAGCTCTAGACCATGGGCTCCTAAAGTTTCTTTTTTTCCTTTGGTGATAGGTAGGTGGTCAGAGACAATTTTGAGAATCAAATGGAATTTATAGACTGCTTTCCCACAACAAAATACATACACATGTACACAAAATGCAGTTTCCAATATACCTTCAGGGAGTTCAGAGATTTCCAAAAGAACACCCATAAATCCCCCAAAGGTCCATGGAGCCAGTTTATATATATATAAAAAATATCTACATACATATATACATACATAAACATATATGATCCCATATAAATGTGCATATTTTTATATAATACACACATATATAGACATATAGATTTATGTGTGTATATGTCTACAGATATAAATACAGATGTCTATATGTACACAGGCATGTGTAATACATATATAGATATAGATTCTTACGTGTATTTATCTACAGATACAAATACAGATGTCCGTATATATACAGACATCTCAGAATACCTCAGGTAAATCCTATAATTAAAATATCTTTGTGGAATCCTTTAAGGACTGAAAGAGTTTATAAATGATCTAACTTTCAAAATTTAGGCAGAATAAAATAAAATAACTAAAAGACATACCTAAGCTGTTTGTTTAACAGCATGCCACCTTTAAAGCTAGTCAGTGAAACATCACAGTGTATGTTTCCATATTGAATGCCATCAATCGTATTGACTTTATCTTGTGAAGAATTATGTGGTTGTAGTACACACACACACACACACACACACACACACACAACTTTGAAAGGCCAGATTTGAAGAACATCTTATGAGCAATGTAATGATCAAGCATGAAAGAAGGTAAATTTGGCCCACACCAGTAATCACATTCCTGAATCACAAGTTGATTCTATTAGGCTATGTTAATTAAAGGTGTTTCTTACCCTAATTAGATCCATAGACCTAGTGACAGCATGATCAAGGAGCACAGTCATTTGGGAGGCCCCATCATTGCAGCCTGCCTGGGAAGAGTGTTGCAAGCCTCCCATGGCAGGACAGATCACTCGCTCATAGAGAATTTTAGGACTAAGGAAGGCAAATAATAGGGCCTGCAAAAAGGCCACAGAGTTTAGGGTAATGAAAACACAGAGGTCAAATACAGCCATTCTCTTTCACCTAACAGTCTTTGAATTAGTTTGCTCCCATTGTGTATAAGCCTTTTAAACTAAGAGTAGCATCTGATAATACTTTTCTTTAATCAGTTTTGGCACTTCCCAGAAAGTTAATTATATTCTACAAGTGCTTTTCAAAGAATGCTATAGCCCTTTGGGGGTGGGAACAGTGGGTGGTCATGTCAGATTCCAAGGTGGATAGGTGGGTGATTAGTTCTGACTAGATTGTCTCAGCAGATACAAGATTACTATAAATAGACCATCATTTTTCCTCCTTGAGACATATTAAAGATGAAAATAATATTAACAGACACTAAAGTTCTGTTCTTTAAATTCTCTCATTTTCTTTTCATGAAAACATACCCAGAAAGCTTTACAGCCACCATAAGTGGGGGCGGGTGGGGGGGAGTATATCAGATGTCTTCCAGTTAAGAAAAATGCAGGAACAACTCCATCCAGTAAGCACTGTTTATGTAAGTTATCTCCTCAGATGGAAAATTCAGTTAACTCAGGAAGAAAAAGGTCTAAAGTTACAGTTTCTTAAAAATGTATGGAGTTTGTTTCGACTGTAGAAAACTCATAGAACATAAGAATACATTTGCTAAAGGTCAGAGATGTTCACAGTTGTTTATTGTCCACCTGCTGTGTGTCAGTTTTGTGCAGAGTGCAGTGGACACACACACAAAAAATGTTGTGTGGTGGTCTGTGCCGCCTCTTGCATTTCATTCTCATGACAGACTGCTGTGGCAACAAAGTAACTATTTAAATTCTCATGATGCCCCCTTTGACTTAGGAAAAACTCATCAAGCCTTACTTCAGGTAAATCCTAGGAGCTAATCTGTGACAGGCA